ATTTTTTTCTAGCAATATTTTCGTTAGATTTAAACATCTAGCAGTCACATGTTTGGAAATGTAAAATAAATTATAATTTCAAGGACCAGGCTAAAATCTTGACACTGGCAAACAGTGCCGTCTTTGACCTATTGGAGGCCTTGGGCATATTAGGGGCCCCTATGACTTCCGTTTGGTGATTTAACAGGAACTAGGGATTTTGTATTTGATCTGAGACGGCCCCTATCGATCGCGGGGCCCTGGGCACTTGCCCAAAGTGCCCATTGGGAAAGACGGGTCTGCTGGCAAAAGTATTTCTACAATACGAGTGCCAATTGAATTCGGGTAAACGACTAAGTGTACATGAACGGAGTCGAGTACTCTCGTATTCGGGTAGATTTCCTTTTGTTTAGTGTAGTTTTTTTAACGATATTACTTCATATTATTCTGCAAAATTCGAAGCAAATAATATAAAGTTTTATAGGTAAATCACCCCTTCCATCACCTTACCCCTATAGATATTTCGATAATGTAGCTTAGAACTAAGGCCCCATCTGTTTCTATAGGGAAATTCATCATAATCGATTTAGCTATTAGGGCCCGGAATCGTAACAAACAAATTCACTTTCGCATCTATGGGTCAGGCCGCCATTTTTTGCTGATATGGCGCAGAAGTATTGTGTTGGTGGCGTAGAAACTTCTACGCGTCGGTGACGTTGAGTAACGTATAATAGTGACGATAAATGTTAAGGTTGGCATACACATGCCAAAATATTAAGATTAAATTATGTTGTATAACGTAATTGCACCAATTATGGACACTTTAAGGATGAAAAGGTGGGTTTTTGCAGGATTATTCCTAATATATAAGGATTTTGTTTAAACATCAATGTTGAGCTAAATGTCCGTCTTTTTTCCTTTATGCTTATGCCGGAAAAGTTAGAAATAACCGCATAAAAAAGACGGTGTACGTATTCCAGCTCGTATTCCAGTTTAAATATTGCTTCGGGTGTCCGAATTCGAGTAATGTCTTTCGTACATCCGAATACGTGCTATCGATCAGATGTAATTGCGGCACAAGGATTATCTAGTTCCGTTGTCTTCATCATCATCATCATCAGCCTATTAATGTCCCCACTGCTGGGGCACAGGCCTTCCGTTTGGATGGAATAGGGAGATCGGGCCATGACACACCACGCGGGCCCAGTGCGGGTTGCTGGGTGCTAACGACTGCAGATGCAGCCGGGACCAACGGCTTAACGCGGCGTTCGCACAGTTGGGTCTATTTGACCCGAGCAGTTTGAAATGAGCGTGTTTCTTAAAATATTTGTGCGACTTTGCCAAACTGCTCAGTAGCTGGAGCTAAGGTCCCCCCTCCACGTGGGATTCGCCAATCAGTCGTGTTGCGGTCGCAGCGAGTGATAGACACGGCCAAACACGAAAAAGGTAAATATGACCCAACCATACTATTCGTGTCGTAATTTTGCGCCGTTTAAAAAAATGTTTTATTGTTGTTTTATATTGTTTATTTTGTTATTTTTGGCAAATATGTCTGGAATAAATGCGTACATATTACGTAACGCCAATTTCTAAAGAAACTTAAGCCTTATACTGGTTCGTGAGCATTTGCGCAATCGTAAAGATGTGATTCAGTTGCCAAGACTTATGCGCAAAAGAATAAGAGAGTTTTTAGGAGTAGGTACCTGATGAGGAGCCACCTGTGAAGATACTTTATGTAAGAAAGAGATGCCAAGACTGTTCTGCCAAAAAAGATAGAAAACTAATACTTTTCGGAGCTGTATATGCAAATACATCTGCAGTGAGCATGCAATGTTGTACTGCCGAGATTGCGCAGATGATAAGGATACTATGACTGACGTATGAGACTGATACAAATAGTATAATATTATTAGTTTACTAAAGATTTGATTAACATGTAACAAATTAGTTTACGTTATAGAAAAAAGTTTGTTTTGTTAAAATTTTATTACTTTAAGACAGAGGTTGTCCATTTTGTTAATATTTTATGACACTTTTATGAAAATGACATTAAAAAGATAGTTTCGTATCATGTTGTGTTTTGTTCTACTAAAAACCTATAACGATAATCGTTTTATACAGATAGTAGAACCACAAACCAAATTTATTTTAACTTTTGTAATTATGGCGTTTTCTTATACGGGTCCTCTCGACCCAACCCTACTGTCGTTGATGCATATTTTGACTGTGCTGACGCCGGGTTAACGACCACGAAGGAGCTCGAGATAGTAAATTTTCGGTCTCCCATCCAATGACCGACAACTGCCTTAGCAATAAGCATTGTTATTCAGCTTTGTTGCCTAGATATTTTTGTTATAGACTACAAACGGAACCAGATTATCCTTACCTTTTACTGAAGGTTTATTATTTAAACTTTTATGAGTAATTTTAATGGAGGACGAGTAGTTTTTTCATTCCAATTCATTTCCAAATTCGAATTACAAACTACATCAAACCTCGCAAATTGGATCACAGACGAGGTCTTACATTCCAATTTCAAACTGCCCTTCTTCATTAAAAAAAAGGAAAAGAAACAACAGCTCAGTCTAGACTCAATAAAGAGGTTGGTAGTTCGATAACATCGTATAATTACAATAATGTCTTAATTAGAGAAGCTTGTGGGTGGTCCGCGGAGCAGTGACGTCATCGGCTGCGCACACGCAGCTAGAAGGCCTACTCTATAGTTAAATGGTTATTTTAAGATTAAAAACTGCTAGATTTATTAATAAAAGTAAAAAAATACTTTAAAAATCCACTTCTGTCTGAAACTAAGACCGAGTGGAGAAGAAATTTTTAAGTCTACTTTATATGAATGAAAAACGAAATTTAATTTGAAACTTCGCACATTTCTTACCCTGTTCTCTTTTTCGTTTTCGCTATATTCATTCACCCGAACATAGTTTAACATTCAAATTGTCTATAACCTACTTATTCTAAATTCAAAAATTTTATTTCACAGGTTTATTTTTCTTCTTCTTTTATTATAGGCATGACGGCTTATGTTGCTATTTGCCATAATGCAAGCTTCATCTGATGTAATTGGATAATAAATCGATTAAACTTGATCGATTGTTGGTAGATGGATTCGTGGTGATTACAGATGGTAAAAAGTAGGGAACGATATGAACAAGAAAAAAAGGGAGATTTGCGATGAAGACTATTGTTAAATTATTGTTCGAAATTTAAAACTCATGATCACTCATTCCGTTCGTAAAAAAAAATGTTTACGAATCCGAACTTTTATTATTTACGTATTCCATTTAGTGTCCGAGTACTAAATAGGGCAGAGTCACTTGAGAAATTTCGTTTAAAATTCGTCCGTAACGAAGTTTCGTTTCGGAGAATGAGAGTAGAGTTCCAATACCGGACGCATTAACTGTGGGCTATTTATCAAAACCTAGTGGGCTGCTGTGTCCACAGAACACAGAAGGAGGTTAGAAGGATTATCATATACTTTTTTTTTAGTGTGTATGCTGTTGGTCGCAGATGACCTTTACAGCGTCACCGGGTTTGGACGGCGAGATTCTAAGGAGACCTCACGCTGAGAATTGGCGAGTGCCTCTAGAGGTATTCTGCCGTTCTCAAGCTAAAACGCGGCTAAATGACACAACCAACTTTTGAGATATGGCCAAAAAACGGCTCGTAAACTTAAAATTATAGCTATTCGGTAACCATTCAGCACATGACGGATTTTTAGACTTAAACTATAAAAGATACGAATACTTGTTAAAGACAGATCGATAGAGTATTAAAAACAGTATAAGATGTAATTTAGGGCTGAAAAATCGACCACATGTCACTTAGCCTCAAACTAAAGTTGAGGACGGCAGTATTTCAGGAGGATGGCATCTCCCCACGGGGAAGTCTCCTCTCCGTCTGGAGCTTCTAGACCACTCGAACCTGAGGGGGTCGGCTCAACTAGAGGACGTCTCTGAGACTCCAACCTCGGCTCTAGTTAGCCGTTGTCGTGAGGGGTTATCATATACCGTGTACGGGAACCGATGTCGCCGGTACGACCCCAATAAACTTCCACCTAATAGATAATAAGCCAATCAAACGACGCGACATCAAACAATCGAACCAATCATCGCTCACACCCGAGAGCAACGACGCAATCAGAACCAAGCTTTGGTCAAGTTATGAGCATTTGCTCACACATAACTCTGGCGCGGCTGCCCCGCCCACAAGTCCCTTCTAACCCCTTTCTGTGTTCTGTGGCTGTGTCCATATGTTTATACAGGGAAGCTTGATATCGAAATTCCTCTGTAACAGTCTTCAAGAATTGTCGGTGGTTACAATTTGACAGTATTTATCGTAATGACGACAGCGAATGAGAGCGAAGTAAATGCAACTTTATAAAATACTAAAGGTGCTTTGCGGTTTTACCCGCATTAATTTGAGGAAAAAGCTAATGGTGGGTCATCCTTCAGAGATTGTCATTGTATTTTATTCCTCGCAGGCGGGGGAGCGGATGTGAAATCCTCATGGATACCTTACAGCCGGCTGCAAGGTTATGTCAGACTCCTACTGACTAAAACATACCCGGAGTTCATGCTTATGATAGTTGGTGATCTTTTGAAAGTTGGAACCAAATAAATGCTCTTAAGAAGATAATAACTAAGTTTCAATTGGTCGGCAATATTTTTAAAAAAAGTTTGCAAAAGTTAACTACCAACTTAACCTATATTGTTTATGTAACATCATTAGACCCACCCATACCACCAGCTTCAATCCCAATTGCCGCCTAAAAAATCATGATGCACTACAAAGGGGGCTTTCGGAACCGCGGTCCCGATCCTACTATGAACACCGACTACCCGCTACAAGACTTAAGTTACATAAGATTCAACCGATTTATTCTAACTAAAACATTTTAACCATTATGATGCCATGTTTTTAATTTTCTTTTTAAGATTCTTATTTTGAATTTACTTGATTTGTGTATACCATGATGTCTAATTTTGTTTTCTCTTTTGTTTTAGGACGAAGTAAGTACGGGAGCGGCTCACGGGATTCACGTGAGGATATTCCAATTATTCTTTGTTTTTGAAATTCGAACTGTTTCTGTTTCTCTTTATAAACTTTTAGTTCTTTTTTTGATATAAAAAAATTAATAGCTTTTATATCTAAAGAAAATATAACTAGAAAAAAAAAATTCCACGCGGACCAGGCAGCAGACGGGACTCGAACCCGCACCCTTCGCAATCCGGGCGAATGCACTGACCAATTATGCTACCGCGGCCCTCACGGACCGCGTCGAAATTCTTTCTAGCTATTCTTAAGCTGCAAGGCAGCGCCATCTCTTCGCATTATAGGTAAACCCATAATGTCAAATGAATACTTTTACAAGTATTAAACATTTGAAAGAAGAAATAGCAATTATAGTTATAATTTTTATTATTTTTAAAGCATGTAACTGCTTGATGTTTAAATCTAAAGAAAATATAACTAGAAAAAGGTTTACCTATAATGCGAAGAGATGGCGCTGCCTTGCAGCTTAAGAATAGCTAGAAAGAATTTCGACGCGGTCCGTGAGGGCCGCGGTAGCATAATTGGTCAGTGCATTCGCCCGGATTGCGAAGGGTGCGGGTTCGAGTCCCGTCTGCTGCCTGGTCCGCGTGGAATTTTTTTCTAGTTATATTTTCTTTAGATTTAAACATCAAGCAGTTACATGCTTTAAAAATAATAAAAATTATAACTATAATTGCTATTTCTTCTTTCAAATGTTTAATACTTGTAAAAGTATTCATTTGACATTATGGGTTTACCTATAATGCGAAGAGATGGCGCTGCCTTGCAGCTTAAGAATAGCTAGAAAGAATTTCGACGCGGTCCGTGAGGGCCGCGGTAGCATAATTGGTCAGTGCATTCGCCCGGATTGCGAAGGGTGCGGGTTCGAGTCCCGTCTGCTGCCTGGTCCGCGTGGAATTTTTTTCTAGTTATATTTTCTTTAGATTTAAACATCAAGCAGTTACATGCTTTAAAAATAATAAAAATTATAACAATAGCTTTTATAATTTAAAAATAGAATAGAATCGTTCCTGCAAACGGTGAAGTAATAGAATTGCGATTTAAAACTTTTTTTAAATAATCTTATAACTACTTAGTTAAAATAATTCAATTTTCAATGCTATTGATATCACTCTGTATAAAACGTTAAAAACACAATGGTGTCGATTCTGGCGGGATTCTCTAAACTTAAAACTAAATTTAACATTAGTCTGTCCTTTTTATTCTGAATAGAGAATGACAACTATACACTGGTGTCGATTCTGGCGAGATTCTCTAAACTTAAAACTAAATTTAACATCAGTCTCTCCTTTTCATTCTGTATAGAGAATGACAAGGATACACTGTTGTCAAATTTAAGTTAAGATTTAGAGAATCATGCCAGAATCGACACCAATATCTCCTTTTTATATAGATAAAAGCTAAAATACAGTTTTATGAAAGAAAGCTACTTGTTTTGGCTTACTCATGAAAGTATCTTAGTGTAAAATATAAGTTCAATTCGCAACTCTGTATTAAAACAAATTTTTCTCATCCGTAGCCCGACTTTCGTTTTCAATTAATTTCAAGTGTCAAAGGAGAACGGAATTTGAAATCTCACATAAAAAAATGAACACAAAAAGGTGAAAACCTATTTGAGCGTGGCTAACCACCGTCAAAACATCGAATTAGGTGTCTAATGGCCACCATTCAGAGTTGCCATCACAAAAAACTGTCTCCGAAAGCTTTCTTTGGGGCGTAAAAAATGCGAGGTTGGTAACCCCGGCCCGAAATCATCCATCATCACATTGTTAGGCACAGATTTGATGAAAAAAAAAACTTTAAAATGTAAAAAGTGTTATTACGTAGGTAGATATTGAAATAAAATTTAAAAAAATATGAACACTTGATTCAAAAAGCCTTAATAATAAAAAAATGCTGAAACGTAGAGCGCTGTAGAGTTTCAATTCGAAGATATTACATAACTAGCTGTGCCCCGCGGTATTACCCGCGGTTTATTCGGACTATTTTCCCGCAGTAAAACGTAGCCTATGTGTTAATCCAGGGTGTCATCTAACTCCATACCAAATATTATTAAAATCGCTCAAGCCGTTTAGACGTGAAGTAGTAACAAACATACACACTCACACACACAAACTTTCGCCTTTATAATATTAGTGTGATATACAAGGTGGCAGAGCATCAAAGGTACTAACTAGGAAGAGTACAGAATCATCTTAGATTAAAACAAAAAGGGAAGATACGGTACGCTCATACTAGCATCAAATAAAATATGATCCGTCTCAACTACTTAAGCAACTCTCACGCAAGCACACTTCTGTAAATAAACATTCAATCGAGCGAGCGCGGAAGGATCTCTGTAAGGATTTTTAGTTACAATATAATTTTAAGAGCCCTTTTACAAAATTGCGCCGCTGCCGTACTGATCGGCGCGTAGGGAGATTTGCACTAGCATATATTGCATTTTACGGGGGATGTTTCGAGTCTTATAAAATAATTATAAGTGACATAATTATAAAAATATATACATATTTCAGTAGTTCAATGATGGTAGATTTATGAAAATTTTTGACAGTAATTCTATTTAATTCAATATCAAAATACGAGGTAAACCTGCATTATTTTTTGGGAAAACACTCGGAGGTTAGATGTTTTTTTTTATAATTAATGAAATAGAAAATCAAAATTCTAATACATTATGTTACAACAAAAACATATTTTTGATGTTGCAGTAATTAATTCCATGTAATTTATTAAATATTATTTAGTGATTCAGGCGTTCGAAGTTGTGCATATTATCGTGTTTTCCGTAAACTATCTGCGGTAGAACGGTCAGCACAAAAAAAGTAAAGTAGTATTTGAAAATACTCTACATTGGAAATAGTCAAAATCATTTCTAAGGGGGTAAATGAGGCGCTCAAAAATTACGATTTTTTGCAAAAAATGTGAAAGGCCTCTTAAACTATGTTTGTTCTTTTCTTGTTTTTTATGCATGTTATGTTGTGAAATTTTGTGTTGTGTTTCTAACATACGTTTAGTTTTGTGTATAAAACTTTTCTTTGAAAAGTTTTATACACAAAACCCGCACGAAATAGAACCCGCATCTTTTGCGATTCTTGCGGGTTCGTAACCATTGGGTTGTTGCTTTAGTTGGTGAAAATTTGTCAGTGCTTAAAGCCTTTGTTTGATTAAGTAAAATATATTATTATACTAAATTTACATGAGCCTTGGTTAGCGTTTACAAAAACGAGATGTTACGTAAGTAACAAAAAAAAAATAACAAAGTGCTAAATACCTATAAGTGACAAATAGTCACTTATTTAGCACTTTGTCAATGATTAAGCACTTTGTCACTTATTTACCACTTTGTCACTTATTAAGCACTTTGTCACTTATTTACCACTTTGTCACTTATTAAGCAAGTTGTCACTTATTCAGCACTTTATCACTTATTCAGCACTTTGTCACTTATTAAGCACTTTGTCACTTATTTAGCAGTTTGTCACTTATTAAGCACTTTGTCACTTATTCAGCACTTTGACACTTATTTACATATTAGGGATGACGACTAACTTTTTTCTTCGCCTAATAGGTAGATTATCAAAAAACTTATAGGACACCTATTCTTTCCTTATTCACATAATCAAAACATTACAGAGATGTATTGATTTGAAATGTTGCATGACGTCACGTCTTGGTATAATCTTTATTTGGGAGTGACGTCACGAGTCTTCAGTTAGCCATCATCCCTATTTTATAAGCGCGATCTGTTTTCCATTGAGCATGCAGCATTGAAACGTATCAATGAATTCAAAACCACGATTGCAAACGCGCGTAAGTCGCCTTACCAGGACGAGATTATAACCTTGGGAGGGCTATCAAATATTCAATATTCTTTGAATTAAATTCTATGCTGGATTGAACACTAATCAGCACCATAAAGCTACTAGTCCGGCCCCTACGGCTATCTGTCCACCCTGTTACGTCTAGGCGTCAACCCTTTTATGTCTAGCCGTCCACCCGCTTACGGCTATCCGTCTACCCAGTTACATCTATCCGCTCACTTAGTTACGGCCTCCCGTCTACCCACTTACGTTTGTTTTGCAAATTGATTAAAAATCAGTGAGTCAACCAGTTGACGCTTAGCCGTAAGCTAGACACTGCTGTAAGCACGACGGTGCTTGCTTAGCGCAGCACAGCGTAGCGTAGCTTGATGTTGATTGGTCATAATTCGGGATTGTTTTCGCGATTTTTGAAGGGAAACAGCTTTTTATGGGAGTGTAAACCGCTTCGCTACGTAATGCGTTACGGCGTCTGTCTGTCTGGCTCTGTCTCGCCCAAGGAGGTAGCCCGCCCAGGTCCACCAGGACCGGAGCGGTGTCCAGAAGTCGCCAAATCGAGAGGTCCCGCGTTCGAGTCCCGATGGGGGCAGATGTTTGTGTGATGAATACGAGCATTTGTACTCCAATCATGGATGTTTATTATGTATTTCTATATAAATATATGTATATATGTATCAGTCAATGTATTCTATCCGTTACCCTAGTATCCCATAACACTAGCCTTACAGTGCTGACTTTGTGGCTAGGCTAATTGGTGTGAGTGTTGAAAATATTTATTATTGTTATTATTATTTTGGTTTATTTTTTGTTTATCAGCTTGAGGCTGGTTTTAAACAATCTGTACGGGCTGTGCCAAGTATCAGATTGAATCTATAGTTTATTCCTGACTTAAAAACTTTCTAACTATTCTACAACTATTTAGATCGCTGCTTTTTGCATTGTGATGTATGAATTTTTTGGGAGATCTAACGTTTTAAGACTAATGTGTAGTTGATTTGGTATAATTCCTGTGCTTGAAAGTACCAGAGGAACGATGTACACTTTCTGGAGTTTCCATATCCTAAGAATTTCTTGTTTGAGTTCAGTGTATTTATGTTTTTTCTTCAGTAATAGATTTTTGCAAATTGTGTGTAGCAGGTACGGCAATATCTTTTAAATATGCTATT